CGCCAGGGGCTTTCCCTACACAAGCGGCGTCCCAAGTTTGGGAAACAGTGCACTAAGGGAATGAGTTTCAACAAGCATTGCAAATATGAGGAACTGACCACTCTCTGCATAATTGATCAGCTTCCATTTGGCCAATTACCTTTACAAATGAGCATGACTGAACATATTTTGCGGGAAATCTGAACAGAGCAGATGCCAATTCCAACCAGCCAGATAAACTATAGGAGACTAGAAGGCTCAGAGGATTGGTAAAGGGATATTTAGTCTTCTCTCTTTGTTAAGCAATCTGAAGTTACAGTTATAGCAGAAGTAACTGAAAGTTGTTGTTATTAATGGCTGTTCAGAGGTCTATGAAAAATGAGTTTGAAAAGTGTCTATATCACAAAAATTCCCAATTCCACACTTGGCATTTTTGTTGCCAGTTTCAGTAGAGAGGCCAATGTTTAAAAGAGCCATGGAGAGCAAATTACTGTCTTGACCCTAAAGGTGATTTTGCCAGGGCAAGGTTGGAACACTCTGGCAAGGCATGAAGGAGTATGAACTGCTGCTGCTGCCTGTCCTGTACATTTTCACTTAATACAGTACTTAGTCTCTAGGGCAGTCAGAATGACACCCCTACCATTAATATCACATTCATGTAAAAAACCCACCTTCTTCCTTGAAATACCATGGAACATTTCTAACTCCAAAACTGTTTCAAAACTGCAGCAGGAAATTCTGATTTATTTGTGGACACTATTTACATTAATATTTTAAATACTGTTATGGGCTGAGTTAAACCCTGCTATGGACTGAGATAAAACCTCATTGAAATTAATAAGTGTGAACATGCCCTTCATTTAAGATATCTGTAAGGAACAGGTAAGGGGTGACACCCAACACAAGGCAAAATGGAGTTTGCAGAGAAACTAGCACCGTATGGGCAGAGTATTCCACTCACTGGCTATTGCATGTGTCTGCCTGTGGTGAAAAAGACAAGCTGGAGTGCAGACAAGAAACTGAGAAAGACTCAGGCCTTGGCTACACTTGCAGATGTACAGCGCTGTGAGTTAAACCTGACTTCAAGCAGCTGAGTAGGGAAAGCGCTGCAGTCTGTCCACACTGACAGCTGCCCAGCACACTGTCATGGCCACATTTGCGGCAATTGCAGCGCTACTGGGAGCGGTGCATTATGGGCAGCTATCCCACAGAGCACCTCTTCCCATTCTGGCGCCGTGGGTTGTGGGAAGGGGGCGTAGGTGCGGGGCATTCTGGGTCCTGTCCCAACGCTCCGTGATGCATCGCTTCGCATCCCAGAAATCCCTTTGTTTCCATCCACCTTTGGTGCCATCTTTCAACGGTTTCTGTGCAGCGTGATCTGTCTGCAGGAAATGGAGCCCGAACTGCTGAGGCGTATGCTGACGAGTCTCGCCAGCACGTCACGTTTGGCTGTCGAACTATTCCTTAAGATCCAAAGTGACAGTGAGAGTGAGGGTGAGGAAATACATGGGACACACATTCCTGGCGGATCCTGCTTTCTCTCTCCCTCCAGTTCTGTGCTTTCTCATTCTCTTTAATAGATTGCCGCATAACTTCTTGCAGCATGTCTTCTTTGCTTTTTCGCGGTCTCTTCCTGAGTCTTTGCAGTCTCTGAACAGGCGATAAGAGGGACGGCTGAGGTCTCAAGGTTGATGCAGCTGTATAGGCAAAATGCAACATTTAACAGAGGCAGCATTGTTTATACCAGACAGAGTAATGATTCCCCCCGCACATAAGGAGTAGAAAACACACAGGGTCTACACAATAGCATAATTTTCCCGTCCGAAACAGAGCACACATATCCCACGGGAGCCTCAAAATGGTGAGTAAGGGGGACTGATTGTTTCAGGGCTGCACTGTCCTCTGGGTTTCTGTCCCAACATTTTCCACAGGAGTTCGTCCTGGACGATATCTCGCTGCTGAGGGTGACCTGGGAAGCAAGGGAGGGTCTTCTACTGCAATGCGGCTTCCGCCCTGGCCCATATGCAGCTTGCCTGTGTGCAGCAATGGTCCTCCCGCCCCTCGCGGCACAGTGGCGTGGACACGTTAGCCTGGCTGGGACAAGGACCACGGTGGCTCTCCCGATAAACCTGCGCAAGCGCATTGCACACGTTCTGCATGAGACATTCGAGGAGATTACCGAGGCCAATTACCGCGATGTGATAAACCACATCAATGCACTATTCCGCATCTAGGCATGCATACCTAACCCTCCTCTCCCAAAGAGCCCGCACCGAAAAAATTCCTTCCCGAAAAAAAAAACCGCTTACCGGGAACCTGCTCTTCTGTTTGTCCTCCACCAAGTACCGGCCGCTGCGACTGGCTACCTTCCTCCTGGCTCGAGAAGAGCTCCTGGCTGCATGGCTCCAGGGATTCCGGGGTGTCTCCATCCGGCCCACCACCATCACTCCCGTTTTCCTCCTCCTTCTCCTCCTCCTCCCACCCCCACACCGGCTCTGAAGTGTCCATGATGGTGCTCGGAGTGGAGGTGGGGTTAACCCCAAGTATCGCATCCAGCTCTTTGTAGAATCGGCAGGTCGTGAGGGGAGCACCCGAGCGGCTGTTTGCGTTGCGGGCTTTGCGGTAGGCACTCCGCAGTGCCTTCACTTTAATCCTGCACTGCAGGGCATCCCGGTCATGGCCCCTTTCCATCATGTCCTTTGATACCTTCCCGAAGGTATCATAATTCCTACGGCTGGAGCGCAGCTGGGACTGTACAGCTTCCTCCCCCCAAACATTGATGAGGTCCAGCAACTCACCATTGCTCCATGCTGGGGCTCGCTTGGCGCGTGGAGGCATGGTCACCTGGAAAGATTCGCTGATAGCACTCCACGCCACGCCGGGCTGAGCAAACAGGAAGGGGATTTTTAAAATTCCTGGGGAATGTAAAGGGTGGGTCACATGGTTGGTTACCTGAGGCCAGGGCAGTAGAGTTTGAACTGATGACCAGAATGGCTAGAACAGGCATTGTGGGATACTGCCGAATAATTCTGGAGGCCATTCACAGCGCATTTGGCGGCCACACTGGCACCGCAGCGCTAGCGCAATACTCACTATTCCTCTTGGGGAGGTGGAATACATGCAGCGCTGCAACCACGGAGATACAGCGCTGCAAATGCCTTGCCAGTGTGGACGGGGAGTGAGTTACAGCGCTGGGGGCGGCTTTACAGCACTGCAACTTGCAAGTGTAGCCAAGGCCTATGTCTCAAAGATTCAATCCACCCTATGAAAAAGTTTGAGAAAAGCATGGGAAAATATAAGGCATGAGGGAAAAGACAAACCTCTGGGCTCCCTCAGAGATGAGGAGAAGAGGAAGCAATTATCATCATCATCATCATCACATATATCTCTCGGTTTTATTGATATGCCATGACATCACTTCACTACATGTTTGCAGTTTGGAAGTAATATAAAAGAATGTTGTATTGGAAAATAGTTGAGAAACCAATTAGATCCCTGTGCAGACCTCAATTCCTGCATAAATTTTGCTGTCGGACTGGGGACTGTATTTTTACTTTGTGCATTTGATAGCACTCTGTGTATACTCAGTTGCACTGGTAAGTTTTTCCTGTTTGAACAGGATAGTGGAGAGAAAAATATTTTCAAAATAGGAAAATGTGGTCATAATCCCACACAAACAAACAGGAAAACTCAGGGGAAGGTGTAGTACCTGAAATTACTTTTAACTCTTTTTTTAAAAAGTGGTTAGGTTTCCAGATCGCAGGGCCTCTTTAAAGTGGGGAACTGGAATCAGATGTCATAAAGTTTGCATAGAAAGCAAATCATATTATATTGATGGCTACATTGTAAATAAATAAATAGATACATACAAGAGGATGAAGGCCAAAGGGAGACATACCGAATTGTATTCATCACTTATTATGCGATTTATCAGCTGCTTATCCTTGTCTGAATCTTCTGACATAATCTTCAGAAATGTGAACATTAAATTGTTCTGCAGACTGTGAAATACATTACAATTTCAAAATGACTGTTTTTACACTTTTTCTACAACTGATTTCTACACAAATAAAGGGCAGCAAGGGTGGGATTCTTTCTGAAATCTCTGCCTTCTATGAAAATATTTCTTTACAGTGACAAACAATTAGGCATTATGCCACCAAGAGAGGTAGTCAAAATGCCATCACTAGCTGCATTCAAGGAAAGATTAAAACAAACACTAGAGGAAGCCATAAAAGGAAACCTTTTTGAAAAGAGAACGGAATGGATTATAACTAGATCTCCTGGAAGATATTTGGGATGGTATTTACATTAACCTTTTCTCTAAACATTTCCCAATGTTGCTAATACCAGCACAGCTCCTGCTGTGATAGAGGGTGGAACTGGAATGTAGGCATCAGCAGATTTCCATGTCAGAGAATTCTCTAGGGCACTTTCCTCACAGACCCCTTGATAAAGGGAAGGGATGTGGCTGTAGAAGGGAGATATGCCACAGCATACTGTGCTCTAACTATTCTAGGGTTACCATATTTCCACAAGCAAAAAAGAGGACACTGGGGGGGAAGGGAGGGGAGGAGCCCCGCCCCTGTCCCGCCCCCATCCACTCCCTCCCACTTCCCACCCCCTGATTGCCCCCCTCAGAACCCCCAACCCCCCCCGCTCCTTGTCCCCTGACTGCCCCCTCCTGGGACCCCTGCCACTAACTGCCCCCTAGGACCCCACCCCCTATCTAAGCCGCCCTGCTTCTTGTCCCCTGACTGCCTCCTCCTGAGAACCCTCTACGACCCTACCTGTCCCCTGACTGCCCCGACCCTTATCCACACCCCCACCCCATAGTCACACCCCCGCCCCCAGACAGACCCCCGGGGACTCCCATGCCCTATCCAACTGCTCCCCGCCCCCTGACAGGACCCCCAGAACTCCTGACCCATCCAACCCCCTCTGCTACCTGCCTGCCTCGACCCCTCTCCACACCCCTGCCCCCCTGACAGCCCCCCCAGAACCCCAGACCCATCTAACCCCCCCTGCTCCCTGTCCCTGACTGTCCCAACCCCTCTCCACACCCCTGCCCCCCTGACACCCCCCCACAAACTCCCGACCCATCCAACCCCCACTCCCTGTCCCCTGACCAGGGCCGGCTTTAAAGAGCCCAGGAATCGGGCTGCACTCCGACCGGGGTTGCGGGGCTTGGGGCCGGGTCGGAGGTGCTCGGCCGGGGCTGGGCCGGCGCGCTCAGCCGGAACCAGGGCCGCCGCTGCTGGGGCCCGGGCCGGGCCGGGGGTGCTCGGCCGGCGCCGGGCTGACGCGCTTGGCCGGAACCAGGGTCGCCGCCCTGGGGCCGGAGCCGCTGGGGCCCAAGCTGGGCCGGAGCCGCTCGGGCCGCCGGGCGCCGCTCGGCCCAGGCTGGAGGGAGCCGCTCGGCCAGGGCCGCGCCTCCCCGGAGCTCTCCTCCTCGCGCCCCCCCGCCCCAGCTTACCTGCTGCTGCCTCCCACTTGCCCCTGCTTCTTTTCAGACTTCCCGCAAAGATCTGATTCGCGGGAAGTAGTGGAGGGGGAGGAGCAGGTGGGCGGAGCGTTCGGGGGAGGGGAGGAGGGGGAAGACAGCTGCGGGGCCGGACGGCGTGGTAAGGCTGCAGGGGATGGGGGGCGCTGGGAAGGGGCTTTGGGTGCCCAGCAGCGCTTGGCCGCCGCTTTTCTGTCTATAAATAGCCGACCGGGGGGAAATCCCGGACATTTTTAGATTTTTAAAAATCCCCCCCGGACGGCTATTTATAGACCGAAAAGCCGGACATGTCCGGGGAAATCCGGACATATGGTAGCCCTAAACTATTCTGTTGGCCCTACGAGAGGCACTGCAACAAAGCAGACCTAGGCTGCTCTGACTTATGGCAGGGACTCAAAGGGCTGGTCCACACTACCCGCCTAATTCGGCGGGTAGAGATCGATCTTCTGGGATCGATTTATCGCGTCTCATCTGGACGCGATAGATCGATCCCAGAAGCGCTCCCCCGTCGACTGCGGAACTCCTGCTCGCCGAGAGGAGGAAGCGCTGTTGACGGGGGAGCCTGCCTGCGCCGCGTGGACCCGAAGTAGGTACTTTTAGTTCGATATAGGAAACATCGACTTCAGCTACGCTATTCTCGTAGCTGAAGTTGCGTTTCCTATATCGAACCCCCTCCCCAGTGTGGACCAGCCCAAACAGTCCGATTGCTTCCAGAAACTGGAGCAAACTGTAAAGGTAATGCACAGCCATTTTTGCCTCTGCGCTGAACAGAACTTAGCTTGGCTGCTGCTCGGAATCAAGGCCTCTGTTTATTTGATTCTCTTTCCCTGTGAAAAGAGGCAGATTTTTGCAAAGCAGCAGTAGATTTAAACTGGCAAAATTCTTGTTATTTTCACTGTTGCCCCCCAGGGTTCTGAACAGCAGCATGAAACAGAACAATTTTCTCTGTTTTACTTGGTTGCTGTTTGGCAAAGTTACCAGCAGAAGTGAAGGCTCTGGAGCAGTGTTCTGCTCCTGAGTAAGATCATTAATGGTTTACATTTGGAAGGATTTTGTTTTCTTTGTGCTAGAAGCTTCAACTTTCAAAAGTGAAATAATAAATTCTGCACAAATTAATAGTTTAGGTCCCAGTGATCACCAGGGGTATCTAGGCAAGAGTGTTTTTCAGACTCTCTCTACACAACTCAGCCGGTTAACAGGGAGAAGGAAGTTCATGGAGGGGAAGCAGGCTTAATTTGTGCCTCTGAGTCTCTGTCCACCTCAGATGCCCTGGCACTGGCTTTCTTCAGCAGCTGGCCACACGCTCCCTGGCTTGTCCCATATGACATGTCTGACCCTCTCTCAGGGACTAGGGGCCGTTCTCCTGGAAGTCCCACCCCATCCTGTCCAGGCCCCATTCTACCTCCACTACACCATCCACAGCATCCCCAATTTACACTCACACTGCCAGCCTGCCATATACCCCTCCCCCACTCACACCAACACCCCCATACACCCCACCCCACTCATCCTGCCATACACCCCTCC